TGCTGGCAGCTTTGGATTACCAAGTGATCAAGGATTAGGAAACAGGTACTTGTTTCTGACTATCCATCTCTCCCATCTCTAGCCCTGACTCATCTTTTTGACTGGAGTGATTTCTCATTTCAGAGGCTTGGGACTGTGGGTTCTGCTCCATACCTTTCATCAAGTGTGTGGCACTTCTTTTGCACAAGATGGTGATAAACTGTATCTCATCAGTGCCACGTATCTTCTCTCCAGCAGCATAGAGAGTCTGTAATTTAACACACAGTTATTAACAAAATATTCTCTATGTGCAGCTGGTAAAGGAACAGAGCTTGGCTGAAGCCACTGCTATGGTAAAGGGGTTTGAAGTAACCTAAAACACTGTGTGAACTAGAATCTCCTAGAATGGTTGATTATGAAAATGCTTGACTGTGTTTTCTAGATGAATTGAAGCAGTCACTGTCTCCACCCTTTCCATCCCTCCTGCAGCAGCTGGAGCAGCCAACATTACTCTTAAGATTTATTTCCTACACTTTCCTATTCCACTCCACCATACCCATATACCTTCACATACCAAAAGCAGCTTAGCCCAAGCCCAGATCTCATCACTCTGCTTTGGAACAGCAAGGCTCAGCAGTGCAGGCAAAATTGAAGAACCCTAAGCTGTTTACTTGAAGATCACCCCACCCTAAACTACTGTGATTCCAATCCTCTGCTGACCAGGACGCTGTTGCCCACTGAAGGACTCTGAAGTTCAAGACAGGTGGGATGCAGGCATATCAGTGATCACAAGCATTTGAGAGTACCTCAGCATCCTGGCGAGCCAAGGCTGTGTCGACATAGAGAGTGGCATTATCCCTCTCACCCTGTGAGAACAAAAAGAAAGGTAACCATTTTATCTCATGAATATTCTTCCATATATATGTATCACAGCATCCATTCTAGGCAAAGATCAAATTATCCTTCTCAGCTACCTATTTCTGCAGAATACCCAAGCAATAATGTTTCAGACAGCACAAGTGCTAACTCCTTCACTGAAAGGCACTGAAATCAGTCATATGAAGTGGAGTCAAAAATTGCTCAGTTATTCTGTTGCTAGGCAGGAAAATTCAGAAAATGCAATAGGGTAAATGCATCCAAATGCACTCAGCACTGAGGGCACAGATCCTGGAAAAGTGGTGAATCATAGTTGAGGGGCACTGTTTTCTAAGACCCTTGTAGAGTGCAGTAGCTTTATACATATGTAAAAGTAAGGTGCCTCCCTGAAGCAGAGTAAGTTCCCAACTCTCCTACTGCTGCTCAGGGAGGGGTTCCCTGCTTCAGTCCATGGAAGCTGGAACACAGATCCAGTCCAAGTGACATGGCTGTCTCTGCAGTTTATCTGGCATCATGACTCTATTGGTTCTTCTATTGCATGTCTTCTCCAAAAAGGAAGAAAAAAAAAGTGAAGATCTTTATACCCTCATTTCTCTTCTCTAGCATTACCTGAAGAAGGCAAACCAGAACCTGTTCCAAGTAGCCACGTGTTTCCGATTTTATGTCTTCTTCCAGATCAGAACTGTATTCTACCAAGGGGAAAGAAAAGGACAAGGAAGGATTTGTTATTTGGGTGCTATAGTCAGGATATTACCAGTAACCCAACACACTAACCTGACACTAGTCAAGAGGGTCATTAGGGAAAAAACAGGGCTGAGATCAGCTCACACCCTCAGTGTCACCCAGATCAGCATTTGCATCCGAGTCACTAGCTCCACCAATGCCCAAGGCATAAGCCCAGAGCTAATGTCAGATGTATAGTTGAAGGGACTGAAGAGATCAAATATTTACAAATATATATTTGATAAATTCCCATCTATTTAATGGAGGAAAAGAGCCAAGTGATCAGCTACAGATTTTGTTTTTATTTTGACAATAGCCTTTTGTGGCCAAGCTGAACCAAGTTTGTGATTTGCTGACCCTGTCCTGTAGCTGGATGGAATGCCTAGAAAGGAACTTTCAAATTCTATCAGCATAGTCATGTTCTACTTGCCAGCAAGCAGTTACGTTGCACCTTCTTGCTTTTTAAAAAAACCATTTTCCCCTTGGCAGTGCTAGCTGGTAACACCATTC